AGAAACCTGCTGTAGGGTCAGAGGACTTTCAAGAAGTCACACTAATGCAGTGCTTAGTAGAGCTGTGAGAATGGGGCCACCATCACGATCCCAGAATTATACAGCTACTGGAGTGGGATGCTACCCTGGTAGATCTGCAGGTATGAAACTCCAGCCTGTGAACTGTTGTGTGGGCAGAGTCTAGCAAAACCATAGAGGCAGAGGTGCCTGAAACTTTGTGGGCCCAACTTCTCCGCTCCCCACTGCACCTTAGAGTGCAATGCCCTTCCTGCCCCATGTGGTACCTTTGGTACCCAGGAAGTGCATCGGGCAGGATTTGGCATCCATCACATTCAAGTTTGAATACAGGCATTGCCCCTACCTCAAGGAGGTGGGACATGAAGTGAAAGATCATTTTGGATATTTGGTGATTACTGTTGTTTTTCTTGGTGGGTTTTGGTCTTATTTGGCACAAGTTACCCATCTTTTCCTGTCTCTTTTTCCCTTTTGGGATGGAAATACATATCCTATGCCTTTCCCACCATTGTATTGTGGAAGTAGATAATTATTTTAATTTCAGAGGCTCACTTTCTCTATAACTAAAGGGCTATTGCTAACCTCTCCTATAGTGTACATCTGCTTGTGATAAATTATTTCAGCTTATTTGTGTCTGAAAAAAACCTGTTTTGCCTTCAGTTTGACAGATATTTTCACTGGGTATAGAATTCTCTCTTGACAGATTTTTCTTTCAGCTTTTAAAAGATATTCTGCTACTGTTCTGTTTGATATTATTTCTAACAAGACATCTGTTGTCAGTCATTTTTTTTTTTTTGGTATAATGTTCCTTGGTGTGGGTTTTTGTTTGTTTTTCGTGCCTAAGGTTTATTGAGCTTCTTGGATCTGTGGATAGTTTTTTATCACATAAAGAAAAAACCTGCCCTTATTTCTTCAAATATTTTTTTCTGTTACCCTATTTTACATTTTTAAGGGCTTGAATTACATGAAAATCAGATGGTTGAAGGTGTTTGATACAGTTTCTTTTTATTATGTTTTCTTTCTCAGTGTTACCTTTAGTTAGTTTCTATTGCTATGTTTTCAACTTTTTTTTCCCTGTAAACTCTAATCTGCTTTTAATCCCATCCAGTGAACTTTTCATCCCACATACTGTAGATTTATCTGTAGAAGTTCAACCTAGATTTTTTAAATGTCCTCCTTGTCTCTACTTGTCCTTTGCAATTTTTCCTCTATATATTTCAAGAAATGGAACATAGGTATAATAATTGTTTTAATGTCATTGTCTACTAATTGTATCATTCATGTTATTTATGTATCTATTTTTACTGATTCATTTTTTTCCTTGTTAGAGGTTTTATTTTTCAGCTTCTTTGCATGTCTTCTAATTTTTGATTGGATGACAGCCATTTTGCATTTCACTTTGATAGAATGCTGAATTATAAAATATCTAGCATTTATATTTGTATATATAATCATATGTTTATATTTATTCAGTTACATTACTTGAAAATCATTTAATCTTTCTGAGGCATGATTTTAAGCTTTTTTAGGTGGCATTAGAGAAGCTTTAATCTGGGAATGGCTTTCCCCAACTCCTATGGCAATGTCCACATGAGTTGTAACATTTCCTACTCTGGGTGGTGGCAATATAAACCATGTCTGGCTATGTGTAAATTCTGAGAATGATCTCCTCTGTTGATTTTGGGTGCTTCTTTTCTTAGAATTGGGTAGTTTCTTTACCGATCCTCTGATAGCTACTCAGCTGAGGATTTGAGATGAAGTCTCTCTAGTTCTCTGGATTTGTTTTTCAGTGGAGATTCCTCCTCTTTAGTACATTGCCATTTGAACTTGGCCACGTTGGCTTACCCAGTCTCATATCTGTATTTCTTTTTATTTTATTTTTTACTTTTTAAATTATACTTTAAGTTCTGGGGTACATGTGCAGAACGTAGAGGTTTGTTACATAGGTATACAGGTACCATGGCGATTGGCTGCATCCATCACCCCATCATCTACATTAGGTATTTCTCCTAATGCTATCTCTCCCCTATCCCTCCACACCCTGCTATCCTTCCCCTAGCCCCCCAACCCCAGGGACCAGTGTGTGATATCCCCCTCCCTGTGTCCATGTGTTCTCATTGTTCAGCCCCCACTTACGAGTGAGAACATGTGGTGTTTGGTTTTCTGTTCTTGTATCAGTTTGCTGAAAATGATGGTTTCCAGCTTCATCCATGTCCCTGCAAAGGACATGAACTCATCCTTTTTTATGGCTACCTAGCATTCCATGGTGTATATATGCCACATTTTCGTTACCCAGTTTATCACTGATGGGTATTTGCGTTGGTTCCAAATCTTTGCTGTTGTGAACAGTGCCACAAAAACATATGAGTGCATGTGTCTTTATAATAGAATGATTTATAATCCTTTGGGCATATATCCAGTAATGGGATTGCTGGGTCAATGGTATTTCTATTTCTAGATCCTTGAGGAATGCTCACACTGTCTTCCACAATGGTTGAACTAATTTACACTCCCACCAACAGTGTAAAAGTGTTCCCAATTTCTCCACATCCTCTCCGGCATCTGTTGTCTCCTGATTTTTTAATGATCACCCTTCTAACTGGCATGAGATGGTATCTAAATGTGGTTTTGATTTGCATTTCTCTAATGACCAGTGATGATGAGCTTTTTTTCATATGTTTGTTGGCTGCATAAATGTCTTCTTTTGAGAAGTGTCTGTTTATATCCTTCACCCACTTTTTGATGGGGTTGTTTGTTTTCATGTAACTTTTTTTGCAAGTTTTTATAGATTCTGGATATTAGCCCTTTATTAGATGGGTAGATTGCAAAAATTTTCTCCCATTCTGTAGGTTACCTCTACACCTTGATGATAGTTTCTTTTGCTGTGCAGAAGCTCTTTAGTTTAATTAGATCCCATTTGCCTATTTTGGCTTTTGTTGCCATTGCTTTGGTGTTTTAGTCACGAAGTCCTTGCCCATGCCTATGTCCTGAATGTTACTGCCTAGGTATTCATCCAGAGTTTTTGAGGTGTTAGGTCTCATGTTTAAATCTATAATCCATCTAGAGTTAATTTTTGTATAAGGTGTAAGGAAGGGATCCAGTTTCAGCTTTCTGAATATGGCAGCCAGTTTTCCCAACTCCATTTATTAAATAGGGACTCGTTTCCCCATTTCTTGCTTTTGTCAGGTTTGTCATAGATCAGATGGTTGTAGATGTGTGGTGTTCCTTCTGAGGCCTCTGTTCTGTTCCATTGGTCTATATCTCTGTTTTGATACCAGTACCATGTTGTTTTGATTACTGTAGCTTGTATTATAGTTTGTATTATAGTTTGTAGTCAAATAGCGTGATGCCTCCAGCTTTTTTTTTTTTTCTTTTTGTTTAGAATTGTCTGTGCTATGTTGGCTCTTTTTGGTTCCATATGAAGCTTATGGTGGTTTTTTCCAATTCTGTGAAGAAAATTAGTGGTAGCTTCATGGGGATAGCATCAAATCTATAAAGTACTTTGGGCATTATGGCCATTTTCACAATACTGATTCTTCCTAACCGTGAGCATGGAATGTTTTTCCATCTGTTTGTGTCCTCTCTTATTTCCTTGAGCAGTGGTTTGTAGTTTTCCTTGAAGAGATTCTTTACATCCCTGGTTAGTTGTATTCCCAGGTATTTTATTCTCTTTGTAGCAATTGTGAATGGGAGTTCACTCATGATTTGGCTCCCTGTTTGTCTGTTATTGGTGTATTTAAATGCTTGTGATTTTCGCACATCGATTTTGTATCCTGAGACTTTTCTGAAGTTGCTTGTCAGCTTAAGGAGATTTTGGACTGAGATGATGGGTTCTTCTAAATATACAGTCATGTCATCTGCAAGTAGAGACAATTTGACTTCCTCTTTTCCTAATTGAATACATTTTGTTTCTTTTTCTTGCCTGATTTCCCTGGTGAGAACTTCCAATCATATGTTGAATAGGAGTGGTGAGAGAGGGCATCCTTATCTTTTGCTGGTTTTCAAAGGGAATTCTTCCAGGTTTTCCCATTCAGTATGATATTGGCTGTGAGTTTGTAATAAATAGCTCTTATTATTTTGAGATACGTTCCATCAATACCTAATTTATTGAGAGTTTTTAGCAAAAGGGCTGTTGAATTTTGTCAAAGGCCTTCTCTCCATCTGTGGAGATAATCATGTGGTTTTTGTCTTTGGTTCTCTTTATGTGATGAATTACATTTGTTGATTTGCATATGTTGAACCAGCCGTACATCCCAGGGATGAGTCTGACTTGTTCATGATGGATGAGCTTTTTGATGTGCTGTTGGATTTGGTTTGCCCGTATTTTATTGAGGAATTTTGCATCAAAGTTCTGCATGGATATTGAGGATTTTTCCATCAATGTTCAGCCTGGATTTTCTTTTTTATTTGTATCTCTGCCAGGTTTTGGTATCAGGATGATGTTGGTTTCATAAAATGAGTTAGGGAGGATTCCCTCTTTTTGTATTGTTTGGAATGGTTTCTGAAGAAATGACACCAGCTCCTCTTTGTACTTCTGGTAGAATTCATCTGTGAACCCGTCTGGTCCTGGACTGTTTTTGGTTGGTAGGATATTAATTGCTGCCACAATTTCAGACCTTGTTGTTGGTCTATTAAGGGATTCTACTTCTTCCTGGTTTATTCTTGGGAGGGTGTAAGTGTCCAGGAATTTAGCCATTTCCTCTAGATTTTTCAGTTTATTTGCATGGAAGTGTTTCTAGTGTTATTTCTGTGGGATTATTGGTGATAGCCCCTTTATCATTTTTATTGCATCTATTTGATTCTCCTCTCTTCTTCTTTGTTAGTTTGGCTAGTGGTCTATTTATTTTGTTGATCTTTTCAAAAAACCAGCCCCTGGCTTCATTGATTTTTTGAAGGCTTTTTTTTGTGTGTCTTTTTCTCCTTCAGTTCTGATCTGATCTTAGTTGTTTCTTCTTCTGCCAGCTTTTGAATTTGTTTGATCTTGCTCCTCTAATTCTTTTAATTGTGATGTTAGGGTGTAGATTTTAGATCTTTCCTCATTTCTGTTGTGGGCATTTAATGCTGTAAATTTCCTTCTACACACTTCTTTTAATGTGTCCCAGAGATTTTTGTACATTGTATCTTCATTCTGATTGGTTTTGAAGAATGTCCTTATTTCTGCCTTCATTTCATTATTTATTCAGTGGTCATTCAGGAGCATGTTTTTCAGTTTCCATGTAGTTGTGCAGTTTTGAGTGAGTTTCTTAATACTGAGTTCTAATTTGATTGCACTGTGGTCTGAGAGACAGTTTTGTTTTCTGTTCTTTTGCATTTGCTGAGGAGTGTTTTACTTCCAAGTATGTGGTCAATTTTGGAATTAGTGTGATGGGGTGCTGAGAAGACTGTATATTCTGTGGATTTGTGGTGGAGAGTTCTGTAGGTGTCTGTTAGGTCCACTTGGTCCAGATCTGAGTTCAAGTCCTAGATACCCTTTTTATTTTTCCACCTCATTGATCTGTTGAATATTGACAGTGGGGTGTAAAGACTCCCAATATTATTGTGTGGGAGTCTAAGTCTCTTTCTAGGTCTTTAACAGCTTGCTTTTTGTATCTGGGTGTTCCTTTATTGAGTGCATATATATTTAGTTTAGTTAGCTCTTCTTGTTGCATTGATCCCTTTACCATTATGTAATGCCTTTCATTGTCTCTTTTGATCTTTGTTGGTTTAAGTCTATTTTATCAGAGACTAGGATTGCAATCCCTGCTTTTGTTTTTTTGTTTTTTGTTTTGCTTTCCATTTGCTTCATAACTCTTCCTCCATCCCTTTATCTTGAGCCTAGTGTCTTTGCATGTGAGATGGGTCTCCTGAATACATCACACCTATGGGTCTTGACTGTATCCAATTTGCTAGTCTGTGTCTTTTTATTGGGGCATTTAACCCATTTACATTTAAGGTTAATGTTGTTATGTGTGAATTTGATCCTGCCATTTTGATGCTAGCTGGTTCTTTTGTCCATTAGTTGATGCAGTTTCTTCATAGTATCAATGGTCTTTACAAATTGGTATGTTTTGCCATGGCTGGTACTGGTTGATCCTTTCCATGTTTAGTGCTTTCCTCCAGGAGCTCTTCTAAGGCAGACTTGGTGGTGACAAAATCTTTCAGCAGTTGCTTGTTTGTAAAATATATTATTTCTCCTTTGCTTATGAAGATTAGTTTGGCTGATATGAAATCCTAGGTTGAAAATTCTTTTCTTTAAGGATGTTGAATATTGGCCCTTACCCTCTTCTGACTTTTAGGGTTTCTGCTGAGATATCTGCTGTGAGTCTGATGTGCTTCCCTTTGTGGGTAATCCGACCTTTCTCTCTGGCTGCGCTTAGCATTTTTTCTTTCATTTTAACCCTGGTGAATCTGATGATTATACGTCTTGGGGTTGCTCTTCTCAAGGATTATCTTTGTGGTGTTCTCTGTATTTCCTGAATTTGAATGTTGGCCTAACTTGCTAGGTTGGGGAAGTTCTCCTGGATAATATCCTGAAGAGTGTTTTCCAACTTGGTTTCATTCTCCCTGTCACTTTCAGGTACACCAGTCAAACATAGATTTGATCTTTTTACATAATCCCATATTTCTTGGAGGTTTTGTTCATTTCTTTTCACCTTTTTCCCTCTAACCTTGCCTTCTCTCTTTATTTCATTGAGTTCATCTTTAATCTCTGATATCTTTTCTTCTGCTCAATCAATTCAGCTTTTGAAATTTGTGTACGCTTCACAAAATTCTTGTGCTGTGTTTTTCAGCTCCATTGGGTCATTTATGTTCTTCTCTAAACTGTTTGTTTTAGTTAGCATTTTGTCTAACCTTTTTTCAAGGTTTGTAGCTTCCTTGCAGTGGGTTAGAACATGCTCCTTTTGTTTGGAGGAGTTCGTTATTACCCAGCTTCTGAAGCCTGTTTCTATCAGTTCGTCAAACCCATTCTCCAGCCAGTTTTGTTCCCTTGCTGGTGAGGAGTTGTGATTTCTCAGAAGAGAAGATGCATTCTGGTTTTTGGAGTTTTCATCCTTTTTGAGCTGGTTTCTTCCCATCTTCATGGATTTATCTATCTTTGATCTTTTAAGTTAGTGGCTTTTGGATGGGGTCTTTGAGTGGATGTCCTTTCTGTTGATACTGAAACTCTTTCTTTCTGTTTGTTAGTTTTCCTTCTAATAGTCGGGCCTCTCTGCGGCAGGTACGCTGGAGGTTGCTGGAGGTCCACTCCAGACCCTACTTGCCTGGGAATCACCAGTGGGCACTGCAGAACAGCAAAGATTCCTGCCTGTTCCTTCCTCTGGTAGCTTTGTCCCAGAAGGGTACCCACCAGATGCCAGCCAGAGCCTCATTTATGAGGTATCTGTCAGCCCCTGCTGGGAGATGTCTCCCAGTCAGGATACATGGGGGTCAGGGAGCCACTTGAGGAGGTAGTCTGTCCCTTATCAGTGCTTGAACGCTGTGATGGGAGATCCACTCCTCCCTTCAGAGCTGCCAGGTAGGGACATTTAAGTCTGCTGAAGCTGTACCCATAACCACCCCTTTTCCCAGGTGCTCTGTCCCTGGAAGGTGGTGGGGGTTTTATTTATAAGTCTCTGATGGCTGCTCCCTTTTTTCAGGGATGCCCTGCCCAGCAAGGTTGGAGTCTAGTGACCCAGTCTGCCTGCAAAGGCCTTGCTGAGCTGCCATGGGTTCCACCCAGTCACTGTGTAAACTTCCTGACTGTTGACACAGGTGAGGTTAAAACTGCCTAACCTAGTCTCAGCAATGGTGGATGTCCCTCCCCCCACTAAACTCAAATGTTCTAGGTTGAGCTCAGACTGCTGTGCTGGCTGTGAGAATTTTAAGCCAGTGATCTTAGCTTGCTAGTCTTCATGGGGGTTGGACTTGCTGAGCCAGATCACTTGGCTCCCTGGCTTCAGCCCCTTGTTTCAGGGGAGTGAGTGGTTCTGTCTTGTTGGCATTCCAGGTACCACTGGGATATGAAAAGAAAAAAAAAAAAAACAAAAAAAACAAAAACAAAAACAAAAAACTACTGAGGCTAGCTCAGTGTCTTTCCAAATGGCTGCCCAGTTTTGTGCTGGAACCCTGGGGCACTGGTGTTATAGGCACCAGAGGGAATCTCCTGGTCTTCAGGTTGTGAAGACTGTGGGAAAAGCACAGTATCTGAACCAGAGTGCCTGGAAAAGTCCATAATGGCTTCCCTTGGCTAGGAGAGGGAGTTCCACATCCTCTTGCACTTCCCAGGTGAAGTGATGCCCTACCAAGCTTCATCTCACCCTCCTTGGGCTGCACCCACTGTCTAACCAGTCCCAGTGGAATGAACCATGTACCTCAGCTGGAAATGCGGAGATCACCTATCTTCTGCATTGCTCTTGCTGGGAGCTGCACATCAGAGCTGTTCCTATTCAGCCATCTTGCCAGCAATTTACTGTATTTCTTTAACCCAAGAAAATTTCTGGGCTCTGTCTGGGTTTTCCCTCCTCTCCCCTGCATTCTAAATACTGTAAGGTAATTTTCCCCTTATTTGTTTACCTTTTCTTATAGATTACTGTCTTGTACTGCCTGATATCCTAGGTCTTGAAAACTTGTTATATATATTGTTTTCATTTTTTGTTTGTTTTGGGTGAAGGGTAAACCTAGTCCCTTTTACTCCCTGTTGAGTCAAGTGACAGTATATTTTGATATACTTTTAGTTGTACAGAAAAGTTTTGAAAATATTTTAAGGTATCTTTCATATACCTTTTACCCATTTTAATCAATTGTTTATATTTTACCATTTTCTCTCTGTGTGTGTATGTGTGTGTGTGTTTGTATTCTTTTCCTGGAAGAAAAATTTTTGAGTAAGTCCAAGATATGCTCCTTTATATTTTACTATGTTAGTGTGTATATGCTATGAACAGGGTCATTTTCTTGCATAACCAGATTTAAGTTATAAAAATCAGGAAATTTGATATTAATATAATACTGTCATCTTATCATTTTAATCAATTGTTCCAGTAAATTCCTGTGTAACTATTGACTTCTCCAAATCTAGGATTAAATCTAGGATTCCGCATTACATTTAGTTGCCACATCTTTAGTGTCTAATTTGGAACACTCTTCAGTCTTCATTTGTGCTTCTTGACCTTAATATTTTTGAAGATTTCAAGCCAGTTGCTTTTTAGAATATTTCTTAATTTTTGTCTGGCGTTTCTTCATGATTAGACTTAGTATATATTTTTGGCAAGAATATTATGAAGTTATTATATATTTAAGTGCTTCAGTGTTAATGGGCATACATATTTACAACTCTAGATCCTCTTGGTAAATTTATCATTACAAAGTAACTTTTTTTTTTTTTTTTGCCTTTTGTGGCAGATTTTGACTGGAAGTCTATTTTGTCTGGTGTAACTATGCTTATCTCTGCCATTTTTTTTTTGGGTTGCCATTTTCATGAAATTGTTCATCCCTTTACTTTTAGTCCATGTGTGTCCCTAAAGGTAAACTGAGTATCTCCTACGGGCAGATGGTTCGACCTTGTTTTTAATCTAATCAATCACTCAGGTTTTGATTGAGTAATTTAATCTCCTAACATTTTTTTTTTTCGGTGGTTGGAGAATCTCTTAACATTTTAAGTAATTATTGATAGGTAAATGTTGATAGATAATGCCATTTTGTTAATTATTTTCGGACTGTTTTGTAGTTATTTTGTTTTTTTCTTCCACTCTTACCTTCTTCTTTTGTAATTTATTAAATTTTGGTAATGTTAGGCTTTGATTTCTTTCTCTTTTGTGTCTCTACTAGAGGTTTATTTTGTGATTATCACAAGGCTTACCTAAAAATATATTTTCATAGTCTATTTCAAGCTGATAACAACTGAAATTAATTGCATTTGAAATCTACATTTTTATTTTCCCTACTCTACATTGTGTGTTATTGATGTCATACTTTGCATCTTTTATGTATTGTGTAACCATTAACAAATTATTGGTTATTGTTGTTTATAATATTTTTTTTCTTTTAGCTTTCCTATTAGAATTAAAGGTGATTTACATGCCACAATTGCAATATTAGGGCATTTAAAATTTGAATATGTATTTAATTTTACAAGTGAGTTTTATACTTTTATATGTTTTTATGTTGTTACCTAGCATGTATCAGTCTGTTCAGGTTTCTATGATAAAATACCTTAAACTGGTTACCTTATAAAAAAAAATGTTTTTCTCACAGTTCTGAAGTCTGGGAATCACTGGCAGATTTGATGTTTAGTGAATGCCTACTATCTGCTTCATAGATGATGCTTCTAGCTCTGTCTTCACATGGCAGAAGGAAAAAACAACTTTCTTCAGGCTTCTTTTTATAAAGGCACAGATCTTATTTAGGAGGGTTTTTCCCTTATGACCTAATCACCTCCCCTTAACACTATCACATTGGAATATTTGGCCAATATCTCTTAATACACTTAGGGATTAGCTTTATATATGTGGATTTTTTTTGGAGGGAGGTAGGGATGTAAATATTCAGATCATAACAGAATCCCTTTATTACAACTTGAAGAACTTTCTTTAGCATTTCTTGTAAGTTAGGTCTAGTAGAGATGAACTCCTTCAGCAATTTTAGGAAGTGAGGGGGTGGTCTGGGAATGTCTTCATTTGTGAAAGACAGCTTTATTGGTTTACCATTGATGAGTATTTAGGTTGGTTCCATATCTTTCCTCCTGTGAATAGTGCTGTGATGAACACATGTGTGCATGTGGCTTTATGGCAGAATGATTTATATTCCCTTGGGTATATACCCAATAATGGGATTGCTGCATCAGATGATAATCCCTTTTTAAGTTCTTCAGAAATCACCAAACTGCTTTCCACAATGGCTGAACTAACTTACATTTTCACCAGCAATGTATAAGTGTTCTCTTCTTCTCTTTTCTCTATAACCTCATCAGCATCTGTTATTTTTTTACTTTTTAATAGTAGCCATTCTGACTCATTTGAGATGGTATCTAATTGTGGTTTTGATGTGTGTTTCTGTAATTATTAGTGATTTTGAGCATTTTCTCATATACTTGTTGGCCAAGTGTATGTCTTCTTTGGAAAAGTTCCTATTTAAGTTTTTTGCCCACTTTTTAATGAGGTTGTTTGATTTTCTGCTTTGTAAATTTAAGTCCCTTATAGATTCTGGATATTAGACCTTTGTCAGATACATAGTTTGCAAAAGTTTCCTCCCATTCTGTAGGTTGTCTGTTTACTCTGTTGATAGTTTCTTCTGCTGTGCAGAAGTTCTTTAGTTTAATTAGATCCCATTTGTCAATTTTTGGTTTTGTTGCAATTTCATTTGGCATGTTTGTAATGAAATCTTTGCCAGATCCTATATTCAGAATGGTATTTTGTAGATCTTTCAGGATTTGGATAGTTTTAGATTTTACATTTAAGTCTCTAATCCATCTTGAGTTGATTTTTGTATAGTGTAAGGAAGGGGTACAATTCCCAGCACCATTTATTGAATAGGCAGTCCATTTCCCCTTTCTCATTTTTGTCAATTTTGTCAAAGATCAGATGGTTAGAGATGTGCAGCCTTATTTCTGGGCACTCTATTCTGTTTCTTTGGTCTGCAGTTCCATTTTTGTACCATACCATTCTGTTTTGGTTAGTGTAACTATGTACAGTTACGTAATGTGATGCCTCCAACTTTATTCTTTTTGCTTAGGATTGCCTTGTCTATCCAGGTTCTTTCTTGGTTTCATATGAATTTTAAAATAGACTTTTCTAGTTCTGTGAAGAATGTCATTGGTAGTTTGATAGGAATAGCATTGGATCTGTAAATTGCTTGGCAGTATGGCCATTTTAATAATATTTATTCTTCCTATCTATAAACATGGCATGTTTTTCCATTTGTTTATGTCCTCTCTGATTTCTTGGATCAGTATTTTTAAATTCTCATCATAGAGGTCTTTTGCCGCCTTTTAAAGCTTTAATTCTAGGTGTTTTATTCTTTTTTGTAACTATTGTGAATGGCATTGCATTCTTATCTCTTAGCTTGGATGTTGTTGGTGTGTAGGAATGCTAGCAGTTTTTGTACATTTATTTTGTATCCTGAAACTTTGCTGGAGTTATTTATCAGATCAAGGAGCTTTCAGGCAGAGATTATGGGGATTTCTAGGTATAGAATTATATCTTCTACCAAAAGGGATAGTTTGATTTCCTTTCTTCCTATTTGGATGCTTTTTATTTCGTTCCCTTCCCTTATCTAGCTAGGATTACCAGTACTATGCTGAATAGGGGAGGTGGGAGTGGGAATCTTTATCTTGTTCCAACTTTCAAGGGGAATGCTTCTAGCTTTTGCCCACTCAATATGATGTTCACTGTATGTTTCTCATGGATGGCTCTTACTATTTTCAAGTATGTTCCTTAATGCCTAGTTTGTTGAGGGTTTTTAACATGAAGAGATGCTTAATTTTATTGAAACCTTTTCTGCATCTACTGAGAAGATCATATGTTTCTTTTTTCTAGATCTGTTTATGTGGTAAATCACACTTATTGATTTGCATATATCAAACCAACCTTGTATCCCAGAGGTAAAGCCTGCTTGATCATGTTGGATAAGCTTTCTGATGTGCTGCTGAATTGGGTTTGCTAGCATTTTGTTGAGGATTTTTTTTTCATCTATTTTCAAGGATAATGGCCTGAATTTTTCTCTTTGTTGTTGTTTCTCTATCAGATGTTATTATCAGTATGATTCTGGTCTGAGATAATGAGTTAGGAAGGAGTCCCTTCTCAATATTTTGGAATAGTTTCACTAGGAACAATACAAGCTCTTCTTTATACACCTGGTAGAATTTGGCTGTCAATCCTTCTGGTCCTGGGCTTTTCTAGTTGGTAGGCTTTTTATTAGAGATTCAATTTCGGAACTCATTGGTCTGTTCATGCATTCAATTTCTTCCTGTTTCAATCTTGGGAGGCTGTGTCCAGGAATTTATCATCCTTTTTTCTAGATTGCCTAGCTTGTCATAGAGATATTAGGTTCTGAGAGTTTTTGTATTTCTGTGGGGTCAGTGGTAACATCCCCTTTGTCGTTTCTGATTGTGTCTATTTGGATACTTTTTCTCTCTCTTTTTTTAATTAGTCTAGCTAGCAGTCTATCAATCATTCATTCTTTTAAAGAACCAATACCTGAATTCTTTGATCTTTTGTATGGTTTGTTGTGTCTTAAGTTCAGTTCTGATTTTGGTTATTTCTTGTCTTCTGCTAGCTTTGGGATTGGTTTGCTCTTGTTTCTCTAGTTCCTCTAGTTGTTAAGTTCTTAATTTGAGATCTTTCTAACTTTTTGATGTGGGCATTTAGTGTTATAAACTTTCCCTTAACAGTACTTCAATTGTGTCCCAGAGATTCTGTATTGCGTCTTCGTTCTCATTATTTTTACAGAATTTCTTGATTTTTGCATAAATTTCATTTTTTACCCAAAAGTCATTCAGGGGCAGGTTTTTAAACTTCCATGTAATTTAGTGGTTTTTTAAGCAATTTTCTTAGCATTGATTTCTATTTTTGTTCTGTTGTCTGAGAGTGTAGTTGGTATGATTTTTTTTTTATTGCTGAGGATTGTTTTATGCCCAATTTTGTGGTTGATTATTAGGGTATGTGCCATGTGCAGATGAGAAGAATGTATTTTTTGTGGAGAATTCTGTAGATGTCTATTAGGTCCACTTGGTCTGATTTTGGTTTAGGTGAGTTCAGTCAACTGGCTGAAGATTAAGGGAGCAAGTATCAGTTCAGGACTCCAATGCTGTGTGCCCTAATTCTGAAGGCCTTTCCAGCTTTCTTTTCCGGACCCTTGAGGTTAGAAACCTGCTGTGCTAGTGTAGCCAAGGTGTTTGCAGATCTCTGGTAACAACACTATGATGAGTGGTGCCAGCCAAGGCACTTCATCAGGTGATGGCAGCAGGATTCATGCTCATTTGCATGTGCTAGCAGCAGCAGCAGAACAGCACATTGCATGCTTATTGGCTGTGGTGGAGCACTGACAAGTGCAAGGGTGCCAGTCTCCATGCAGGTATTCACTATCTTTGGTTTTAAATGTGTTTCCTGGATTCTAGAATGTCCTGGAGCCCTCCCTAGAGATCTCCCAGTACCTTTAGGTAGCAAGGCATTAGAAACTATAGCAGAGCCATGTGGGCCTCACTAAACAGAGGATATGGAACAGTGAAGATGTGCTTGATTTTGGCCGCCAGAAGCAAGAGTTTTCTTTTTATGAATGAGTTATAGGAATTTTTATATTAACTAGATTCAGCCTGTCAAATACCAGTTTTGCAAATATTTTCTTCCACCTCATGGCTTGCGTACTTTTTTCTTAATGTTTTCTGAATGAGCAGAAATTTTCAATTTTGATGAAGCCTAATTTGTCATTATTTTTCTTTTTATGGTTACTGATTTCGGTGTCCAGTCTAAGAAAGCTTTTCTTACTCCCAAGTTACAGTGATATTGTCTTATTAGTTTTAGTTTTCACCTTTGGGACTAGGAGTTATTATAAATTAATGCATTGTGTGAAGTCAGGGTCAAAGTTTCTTGTTTCATATATTCATATCTAGTATTTTATCACTTGTTAAGTAGAGTTTCCTTACCATATTAGATTACTTTGATTTTCACCAAATATTAAATGATCATAGAAGTATGGGTATATTTCTGATTTATATTCTGCTCTATTGCATCAATTTACTGACTCTTATGGCAGTAACACCTTTCTTGGTTATAAGAGCTTTATAATTCCGAACTCATGTGGTAAAAATTGTGTAACAATTTTTTGTTTTCAATATTGTCTTTGGATTTTCATGTCTTGCATTTCCATATACACTTTAGGATGAGATTAACAATTTTTACATATAAGTCTGCTGGGATTATTATTGGAATGCTTTCAAATAATTTGTGAAGAATTGTGGGGATCAGTTTGCCAATAATTGACATTTTTAAAATGTTAGTTTTATAATCAGTGAACATGTTATGTCTTTTACTTACATTTTAAATTTTCTGCAGTGTTTGTAGTTTTCATTTTACAGGTATTATGTTAAACTCATTAAGTATTTTATGATTTTTGATAACATTGAAAGTAGAGTTGTTTGAATTAAATTTTATAATTGCCATTACTATGTAAAATACAATTTGTATATTATCTTTATATTCTACAATTTTGCTAAATGCACTTAAGAGTTTTATTAAATGTTTTGCAAATTTTTAGACTTTTCTGTGTTACCAATCATGTTGCTGGTCATAGTGGCTCATGTCTGTGATCCCAGCACTTCAGAAGGCCAAGGCGGGTGGATCTCTTTGATGTCAGGAGTTCAAGACCAGCCTGGCCAACATGGTGAAACCCCATCTCTACTAAAAATACAAAAATTAGCTGGGCAAGGTGGTGTGCACTTATAATCCCAGCTCCTCAGGTGGCTGAGGCAGGAGAATTGCTTGAATCTGGGAGGCAGAGGCTGCACTGAGCTGAGATCATGCCACTGCATTTCAGCCTGGGCGACAGAGTGACACTCCATCTCAAAACAACCACCACCACCACCACCACCACTATATCATTTGCAATTAGACAGGGTTACTTATTTTTAAATTTTTGAGCCTTTTATTTATTTCTTTTTCTTTACTGGCCCTGGCCATGACCTATGTAAAATGTTGAATAGGAATGGTGGGTGAAAGTGGGCATCCTTGCCTTGTTTGTATCTTACGGGAAAAGTGTTTAATCATCATTAAGTATGATGGTACTTTTTAAAATCAAAACTATTTATCATATTAATGAATTTTCTTCAATTATTTTGTTAGATTTTTAAAAATGAGTTTCCATTAGAATTTGTCAAATGTTTTGGGGGAGAATGGAAAGATATTTGCCAAAGGGTACAAAGTTTCATTTAGAAAAGATGAATACATTCTGCAGATACATTGTGCAGCATGATGTCTATACAATAGTAATATATTGTATAGTTGAAAATTCTGGAAGTAGTAAGTCTGACATATTCTCATCACACAAAACCAAGTATGTGAGATGATAGGTAAATTACCTAGCTTCATTTAACCATTTCACAATGTATACATCTATCAAAACATCACATCGTACGCCATAAAGATATACAGTTTTTATTTATCAATTACACCTTTATAAAGTTGGGAAAAATAAAAACAGACAAATCTGAAAGTGCATGTACACAAAAACAAATAAATTCAAAAAAGAGAAATTAGCCAAGTGTTTTCTGTGCATCTATTGATGTAATAGTTTTTCTCAGCCATTTTGTTAATGTGTTGAATTGCATTTGTTTTTAAATGTTATACTTACATCGCATTCTTAGAATACATACCACTATATCATAATGCAATATCCTATTTACATATAACTGGACCCATTTTAGTTAACATTTTTGTTAAGTGTGTCTACCTTTTGTTCATAAAAGATGTTGCTCCCTCTTTCTATGTAATGTTTTATTCAGGTTTTGCTGTTAGTTTTATTCTGACCTCATGAAATTAATTGGAAAGTAATTTCTTCTTTTTCTCAAAGAGGTTATGTACGTTTGGTTTTATTTCCTCCTCAGATGATTGATAATATTCATCAGTAGGATCACCTGAGTCTAGAGTTTTCTGTGTGAAAAAGTTTTTGATAATAAATTCAATTTCTTTGCAAGCAGATATATGGGCCTTCCAATTTTCTGTTTTATCTTGTGTCAGTTTAATAAGTGTGTACTTTGAGAAATTGGTTTATTTTTTTAAGCTGTAGAATTTGTTAGTATAAAGCTGTTTATAATATTACCCTCTTAAAGTTTTAAACGTGTGTACAACCTTTAATGAAAAACTACTTTTTGTTCCTAATATTGGTAATTTGTGTTATCCCTCTTTTTTTTCTCATAATGGCGTCAAGACCAGTCGATTTTGCTGATCTTTTCTAACACTAACTTTGGCCTTGCCATTTTTTTCCCATTGTTAATTTTCTATTCTCTATTCTCATTTTTATTTCCTTCTATCATAAACTTATTAGCATGTGTCTTTATCTTTACAGTTGTAACGGTTAGAAATAGACAGACCTCAATTTTTAAAGTAAGAATTAAATGATAACATGTTTTCTGGTACACAGTAATAAATAAATGGCATTCATTCTAATTATTATGAACACTTTCCTGATACTTCCTGTGAAGGTTTCTATAAATTTCTAGTTAAGAGTAATTAATATTAAGTATTGTTGTCTGTATTTATGTGAGGGAAATTTTAACTGGGTAGAGATACCAGGTTAATATTTTACTTTTACTGGATAAAATCACAAACATTTGTAAGGCTGCATTCCCTTCAAAATGGAAACAAAACGGACTGTTTTTACTTGGGTGAGGCAATCTTCTCCTAAACTGTAGCTCAGTTGCTTACCATCTGATGAGGGCATTTTTGTAGACCTGCGCTGAGCTCAGCATCCAGTCCCATTTATTATGTTGAGTGAGATCAGTCTGGGGTAGCAAAGATGTAGGAATGTATAGTACCTGGTATCTATAATAGCCTTGAATAAGAGAAAAAATTATAAAAATGAGAAAGTCAGGTATCAAAAGGTAGAATGAAATTATTTCTTGTTGAAACCCAACAGTCTGACAAAACCATGTTAGCTACTTCATATGCTCTTTGCTGCTCCTAACATTGTGTGATATAGATTATAATATCCATTTTAGAGATGAGAAGATCTAAGGTTAGAGTCAGCTGTACAATGAGATATGAAAGCCCATTTCTTAGCACTACATGAAGCCTGTACACCCTCTCCAAAGTAAAGTAGATGGCTGTACACCACTGCCAGCATACATATGGTGTCAAATGGTGGTGTCAGCTGCAGTATGGTTTAAGCAATCATGTTAACACTCATTTTCAACCCCACGATTTGAAATGTCCCCTGATGTGAAGTCGGATAAAAATTCTGTATAATTTCAAATAAGATTTTTTTTTTTTGGGGTGGGAGAAGGTGGTGGCAGGAGGGTTGTCTACAATAAAACAACCGTAGACTTTACAGTTTGTTTCTTGTTGGAAGGTAATGAGGTCTAGGGAATTTAAAACATCTCCAGAAAAGTAAAAGTTGACCTTGCTTTATGCACTGGGTGCATTAAGTTGAATATAAAGCTGCTATTTGTATATCAAATCTCTTAACATAATTGTGAAGCTTTACTCCCATTAGGAAAACACATGCACTGAAATTCAGGGGCTTGAATACAAGACCCAATAAAAACAACCCTTAAGCATCCTAACATGCACTTCAAAGGAGCATTTTGTCTTTGTCAATATGTAGTCTACCGTGCATTTAATTTTCTGAGGAAATCCCTGTGAGCATTTTGCTAAATGGGTAATCAATCTACCTGATCTCGCCTAGTTCAATTAAAGCACAGCTACAGGAGCACAGACAGTCCCTCCCACAGTGAAAGTGGCAAACAGGGCTAGCGAATGGAGGTTTGGGGCCCAGCTGGGGCATGCCCCCTTATCCCATTGTCCTCAGG